GTCTGCCTAGAGCCAGTATAAGACAATAGATACTACCGCTAGAGCTGTTAAAAGTTAATTATATGTTGAGTAATTGTGAATTAATAATTATGTGAGTAGAATTATTAATGTTATATTTTATATGTAAAATATGATACTAACGGATAAGTGGTAATATGTTGATTGATTAATAATAATTAATTTGTAATAAAATAAAACTGAATAATAATAATAAAAATAATAATTAATGATGACATATTAGTGAATAAATTATTCTTATACTTTGTAACGATTAGTTTCAAAATAATTTTCACAAGTATTATTACTATCATATGCAATACTGTTGAATGATGCTATTGTTGAGAATGAAATATATCTATTCTTATTACTGAATATCTTGTGCTCAATTCAATTTCTGTTCTTATTTTATTTTCATCCATCTTCTTTACTTTCGGTCTCTGAATTTTTTTTTTTTCTTTTTAAAAGAAATTGGTTGTTATTGTACTTTCCACAATTAAAAGAAAAACTCAAAACTCTTTTGATCTCTATTCAGAGAGAGGATCAAATGACGTAATCAAAACTACTAAATCAAGATTGCCTTCGTTCTATTCATGTATGTCACAACATTAGATACTCAAATTAGGCAAAGTAAAATGACTCACAGATGCACAATGGAATTATGCTGAGAAACGGCACGCCGATGGTAGCCGAAGGCCGTCCACACAGACCTTCCAACTTGTTGTGACACAGTCTTCTGAGCGCAACATTCCCCGGGTATGCGAGCGAAGGAGAGTTGTCTTAACACTATGCCACGCGTTATGTGAGCTCGCTCAGGAAGAGTATTCGTCCGGTTTCTGTGTAATCACAAGCGACTCAGTATGAGAAGCGGACGCTCGCGACGAGTGCAGTACCGATAGCGAAGCCTCGCCCTACGATGAATTAGGCGTCCACGTCCAGTCCCATCTGCACCACGTGCATACGGCTGTGTCGCACGAGCGTTATTGAGGACCTTTCCAGGCGCTCCCAGGGATGATGCCTGCTACCGTGCTATGGGACCGGGCTGTCGTTCCTGCTGCCGCACGGCGCCTCTTGAGAGGCTGTCCGAAACCCGCCGAACTCGCTATCCTGGAGACGCTCGGCTAGCGACGAAGTACGGCCCACTGTACTATGTCTTGTATCTCAGCCTGCAGTGCACCTCGTAAGGATCGTCCGTCAGTGGAGTCCATCTCACAGAATAATATCAGTGTGCTCACATAATACACGTGGTTTTTTGCTGCCGCTCTTTCCTCCCGTCAAGTCTTGCACGTATTCTGCATGATCACCACTTATCTCTCTCTACAGTTTAGAAATATATTCACCGAAACTTTAGAAAACTACCGACTTCATCCCAGAGAGTAAGTTCTGTCGCTTGAAGGCCAGCTCGTAACATAGACCACACATATTTCTTGCTGTTGTGCGTTAAGTATCTCGTATAACAACCGAATGTGTATTGATTAGCTTACCCGCGGGCGCTTGACGGTAGTGCCAGTAAAAATTCACGCTGTCTGCACGCAACACCAGCTGCCAAAAACATTGGCAGGGAGTGATTTAGGAGTGTTGCGATGACACAATAAAACAATTGATGACACGAAACTTTAACTAGTGATAAAGCACAATACATCAGTGCAAAGAAGTATTGATATAAACACGCAACACAGAAAACATAACCGCAGAATTTACCTTTTGTGGTCATGTTTGCAGTGGAGTGGATGGTGCGATTCCAACGTAATTCTCAGCTTGACGGTCAGCTCGAACTCCAATGAGGACCCGCTATTTGAAGTATACTCAGGCAGAGCCGCATCGTGCTCGTGCGCAAGTCCATCTCGGAGCCAGCATTTCCACTCCGGCAATTTCTGCCGACCAAGTTGTAGCTGCCGAATCTATCCCGTCACGCCAGCCAGCTCGCCCGCACGCCGATGGTCAGGCAGGTCGCGGACCATGAGGAATTTAACGAGGTCGAAGTTTTTAGACTGATCCTCATGCGTAGCATTCTCTCCTGGCACTGCACTGACGCATTGCGACAAAAAACTGAGAGTTGGCTAGAGCTTTTACCCTGGCCTAGTAGTTCGATAGAACATCTTCTGATAGAGGAATGAGTACCTGGCGTGTGTGTGCTAGCCTCGCTTCGATATTACGGACGTAAGGTACTACAAACACACACACACCACACACACACACACACACACACACACTACCACACAGCACAACATATCACCATCGACACCACAACCACACAACACCATATCTATACTACTACCTATCAAAACACTCAGCGAGTATCTTTGCATACTCCCTGGTATAATATCGCGCACAATTTTAATTAGTTACATGATCATAGCCATACATACTATGTGTATAAGTATACATGCTCATACAAATGTACTACAACAACGACTGATAAAATCGCATACACACGAGCTAAAACTCCACAAATACCACTGGTATCTACTAGTATAGTTACCTATCTATATACAATAATACTAGACCCTGAGTAGACATATGTATAAATAATCATAAAGCCGGTACAGTGCACTATCACAATAACAACTCTAATACCATACTATATACCCTTAACCCTATACTATACTTATTAAGCTCACACACACATACTTCCGAACAATACACACACCAAAAGAAGAGCACACACCAACACCCACCACACCACTAATACAACCACCAATCAAGACACAACACACCACCACACACACACAAGCACACACACATACACACACGCAACCTACACGTATATCATCGATTTACACCTTCCGTAGATATACCGCAAGCTATCACGCGCAATCATTCCTTACTGATAATCCAGTACAGGCATACTATATGAGTAATATACAGTAGGTATAACATGTACACACTAATCCACGAATACTACCACCGACACACACACCACACCACTCACCATGACCTTACACACCACATATATGTAGTTGAGTTCACATAAATATAGAAGTATCCTAACAGCTCTATCAGTACTTAGGCTGTAGTATATATCCGGACGCGTAATAGTCGTCAAAGTATAGCTAGGCGGTTAGCGGTATTAGTACTACTTATACTATACATACATATAGATAGTGGGTCACGAGCTATATATTATTCACGGGCACCATATCAATATTCTACACATCAGTCACCATATATATACATAATATGTATATATATTGTGGTTTGTGGGGTATGTATTGTATAGCAAGCCACACGAGAGGGACAAGCACACCACCATGACAGAGGCACGCCTGACTTATTATTTTAATACTACCCTCCATTAAAGCCGTTGCGTGAGATGACTCGCCCTGATTTTTCAAATCACTTTTGACAGTACATTTTGCCGGTTGATGTCTGAAGTGATCTGCACCAAAGTCACGTTATTTGTTCTCACTGCCTAACGGGAATATGTCTAGTCTGTACATACTACTCTCTCAAAGGTTGAATTTATATGAATTTAGGAAGAATAATGTTGACATGAATCAGAACGAGACAAATCAGAAACCTAAAAATACCAGCCCTTCGTAAAATAGTTTTATGTGTAGTTGTACTTAAATATAAACAAATGTATACATACATCATTTATGTAATCAATATATATATTATATATATATATATATATAATATATATATATAATATATAAACTATATATATATATTTTTTTTTTTTTTTTTTTTTTTTTCTCCCATACTTACTGCGGTTATTTTAAGTGTCATAATTCCTGAAAATTGTTGTCGTTACGATAATGATTATTATTGATAGATTAAGATTCTAAATTTTCTCGTCATTATAGTGATTGTTGTCATTTTCATTACTGCCAATAGCATCGCTAAATTCAAGGATAAGTCCGAATTTCAAAGCTGATCCTCGCCCGGGCTATGTCTCTGAGGGGATCCCGCCGGGCCTGTGGCCGACCAAGGACGCCCCGAAATATTATAAAAGTCAACTGGGCTGACTGACTCGGACTGAGCTTTACCCACAGTGTGGATGCGCGACCATAGCAGGCGTGAGAAAGTGTCATAATGTCGCGACATTTCACACTTCTCACGTCTGGAGGAGATGCGAAACCGCGAGCCCTCGAAGGTCAGTCAGTTTTAGTGAGATTTGTGTTCTCGTTTCGCCCGGCCCTTTACCTATGTTTGGCTCCTCGGGAGCCATATCATCGTTGATATTATTAAACTATATTAATGTCATCACCTCCTTTGGTGTATCATATGTCAGCGCAATTGATGATTTTCTATTATAGTATGAAACGCCAATGTCTCGTAAGTAAATTAAATTGGAACAGAATGTTCTATAAGACCTTCCTGTTTAATATCCTTCTGCAGTTCCTGTTTTAATACAGGTTTAATATATATAATTACTGTACCCACACTCCCACACACACACACACACACACACACCACACACACACACACACACACAAACACACACACATACACACACACACACACACACACATACAGTATACGACACACATATTAACATAATGTATATATGATAAAAAAATAAATACATAAACATATATACATACATGTATGTATTTATACATATGTATATATGTACGTGTGATTCATTATCCTTACTTTTATCATAATTACTGATAATATCGTTAATTAGCGGTCATGTTATTTTTATTATGGGTGTTCATAATTATTATTTTACTATTACATTTATTTTAACTTTTATCTATTTATTTATATTTATAAATTTCACTATTGCCAATATCGTCGCCAATATTACTATTACTATCATTATCATCCTTACTATTATTATCTTAATTCACAGTAATTGCTGATTTGCTGCTATTTGTAATACAGAACATCTACGGGTGGTATATCGAGATGAAACAATTATCAATCTTTATCTTTTAACGTTGTTCAAGGTTTTGTTTTCTAGTTAATATTTCAATATCCTATCTGTAACTTTTCGACATTAAGAATGCTTATATTTGATTTATTTTCAGGATAGGTATAAAAAATAGCGA